TTAAAAACTCTCTACCAACAGAATAGTTTATAATTATGAAATATAATTTACATATTTAGATTCCCCATATTTTAATGCACTTAGTAATAAATTCTTATTGTGGTCTCACAATTATTCATAGAGATAATCAAAGATATGTTTGATTTTCTACTGGTTGCCAGGAGTGAGCCGCATCCCTGTCGTGAGCCACATCCCCGTAAATCACGTTAACGGCCAGTGTCATATAATTTTGTACCTTCCATCTCTCTGAATGTCGAAACTCAATATGGAGCAAGGCCAGGGCTGCTTGTTGGAAGGGTTCTGCTAGTGTGGAACTCGCATTCCCACTGCTAAGGTATATCACTAACCGAGGGAGTGGATGTGGTAGAGGAAGGGAGTAAACGGAAGGCAAGAGAGAGAGAGGGGGAGTCGAGAGGGAATGGGAGGGGCTAGGAGGGAAATGTTGGGTGATGAGCCATTCTGGAGCGGTCCCTTAACATCTGGACCCCAGTTTTCTGTATTTTTAGTATTCAGAGTGAGGCATGTCAGGCGGGGAATATATAGAACCAGCCTACTATCAGATATGCTACCACACGCACTATACCGTGTCCCTGGGAAGGCAAGTGAATGAAGGGGGAGGGTTTGGAGGATATGGGTTGCCAGCGATAAGAGGGCAATGATATTGATTAAAGGCTGGAAAAGGTGCAATCGGATTTCAATGCATCAGACCAACTACCTTGTCGGTCCTCCTAATGTCAATCCTACTAAAGATAAATGTGCCCATGTTGCAGCTCAGTTCACCACCTCCAATCCCAGAACCCCCTCTTCTGTTTCCGTAAACGACTTCAATGTAATCCTCGATTCTGCGTGTACAACATCGGTTTCGTTTTATCCGAGATTCTTTAGAATGTGTTAATTCTCCATTCTGATACCCGATAGCCCAATTTAACCGCCCTTTCGTCGAGTCTAAGTGGCCGTTAGGCACAAAGGCTGGCTCCAGGTTATGAGAACGTGGATTCCGATAGTATAAAATACAAGGCTGGTGAATAGTTACATAATGAGAGCCCGCGATACTTTACCTCATTTTTCTGGCCGGTGCTGTATGTTCTTCAGCCCGAACACAACTCAATAAGCGGGATGAGACATTGTACTTGTTGGACACAATCATGGATCGGATTATATGTTCCTCGTGGGGTTCACTTGCATAAGGACTAATATCAGTGATTCGGGAATAAGGAAATCCAGTTAGTATAAATGATGACAACTGTTTTGACTGCAGAGTAGAGCAGAGAGGACATGCAGCCCGGACTTGCGGCTCCCAGGAGAGAACAAGTAATATAAATGGGGTGGCAAGGTAAAGGCCCTGCACTTAAAACAGTTTTGTTCACCATTATGGCCCTAGATTTTATCCTACAACGCCCACCTAGTTATATCATGCCTTGAGGGGATGTATATACTCAATTCACAATCTAGTCTTTAGAAAAATGGAAAAGACAGTGATCCCCAACATGCTCAAATCTAGGCTATGTTTCTATAAGAGTGTCTAGTTGTTCCTTATTCACTCTATCCTACCGGAGGGGTCCTCTATATGTTCGGCTCAACATAATACAAAATAAAAAATACCGGCAGACCCTTCCATGCCTTTCGCTTAGTAAGTACTAATACCACCATAATGCTTCCGACATCTTCAAACCTTTCCAAGACACTATCCGTGTTGTTCAACTCCCTCCGCGGCGCTGACAGTTTTGTTCTATTGCTTGATACAATGATCTGATGGATCCAAAGTTGCGAAAGGAGAGATCTGGGATTGTTGGACGGCCCATGGGCCAAGATGTAGACATAGGCAGTAAGCTGCTAATAGCGAGGGCCTGTTTTTTTCTTTTTTTAGGGGGGGGTTGCCCCAGCTATAAGCCACATGAATATAGACTCAGCTGATATGCGTTTTACTTCAGAGCCAAATTGAGATAAGGGAAACCTATTTAGAGGCCTGGATGGAGCTGTAGTTGAGCTAACCATGTACAATATCAGGGCAGGAGGTTGTAATGCAAGTGGAGGAATGCCACCTCAGTACTGTAGACAGTTAATGTGCTAGAACAAAGCCCTCATGCACAGCTCTCTTCGGGCAAGGGCGCTCATCACCTTAGAGCGGCCTAAAATAGTTTGATGTATAGTAGAGCCTTGTAGGAGTCAAACATTTCACACATACTCCGGCGTATTAAATGTCAGTCTGGCATGCCAGTAAACTGACATATGGTAGATTATAGACCAGCCTCAGATATACGGTGGGTCAAACATCAAAATACCGGCACAAATCCCATAGGCTTGGGTTGCGGGTTCCGGTCCCGGTTTTCCCTCACGTGCTTGGTGCTTGCCGTGTGGCCATTTTCCCCCACAGAATCCAGCCGGACTGGCACCGAGTCACATTTCCCCGTACTCCAAACTCCCCCCACCCCCGGCATCCCAGTTACGGTCACCATACACATATGTTTAACCTTATATGGGACGTGTATCACAAGTTGTAGGGAAGAGGAACCGACATACTGCACCGTTTCCGCATCGCCTCACACCTCCCCGTACTCCAAGCTCCCCCACCCGCCCCCAGCACTCTCAGTTACGGTCAATATATATATTTTTTTAACCCGATGGAAGACGTGTATCACGAGTTGTGGGGAAGAGGAACCGAAATACTACACCGTTTCCGTATTGTGGTTCCGCAACCGGAACCAACCTTTGTTCCCGGGTATGCCTTCAGCCTCCAACAAGCGAGAGATGAAGGGCTGCCTGTGCCGAGATTTCGCAGAAAATCCTATGTCTCAGGATTTTAGAGCACTTAGGGTTCGGGCTTGGCTTCCTTGTGGATGGAATGTACTTCTTGTCCGCTCTGAGTACACACAGATCGAGCAGCTCTTAGAGACAGCAGAGTTGGAAAAATGGTCCTCGGTTAAAGGACTAACGAAGTGGGGAGCCGAACACGATTGTGTGATTGTTGGTCAAGCCGGCACAGGTATGTTGTATTTATATACGCTATTGATCTAATGTGTTCTGACAGTGAGTAAGGAAAATCATATTTTCTTTCGTACCTGTTAGCACGTCGTCTCGTTATGGGCAAGCCAACAGTGTATAGGGAGAAAGATCACAGGTGTTTTCTCTCTGACCAGAAGACGGCTGGTAAGCAAGTAGATGTCGAGTTCCTGTTGAACCTTTCACAACAGAAACAACGGGCCTTCTGGATACTTACTAGTAACAAAATTACTGATCCATGTTGGTATCGGCATGGTAATTCTTGGTTTGTGGTACTAGTAGCGTAACCAAGCCAGGTGGAGGCTTCAAAATTGTGGGTGAGTAAGCGGAATTCCTGCCGCCGGTACATGAGTAACTGGAATTGGAATGAAATTTTCGCTACGTTCCGGTAGTTATCCCCTTCTCCAACTCCTGTCTCCGTGCCAAGAGTTGGCACCTCTTTTGGAATAGCCTCCACAGGACCAGAGAGTGGAGAGTATTGCAGCTGATCTTCTGGCGTGAGGGATTGCACTTTGCGACCTCCCTGGAAACTGTGCGAATTATTGGCGTGGAGACACGAGTATGTTTAATTCACCTGCTAACTAATACTTACCATGATAGTTTATGCCAGGCCAAGCACGCGACTCAGAGCGAGACGGAGAAGCTTTATACGATATTCGCAGCTTTAGGCCCAGTTGCAAGAACATGCTTGCAGGAGATATCAGTATCGAGTGACCTAGTATATGCGAGCAGCCTGAGAATTTACCTCCATGTGATGAACGAGGATATCCGAGCCTTCATTAGATCAGGGGGATATAGTCATTTAGATGATCCGGTGTTGGACAAAGCATCAGCAAAACTAAGTCTCTTGGAACCTATAAATGATGGACGATCCTATCAATTGCGGATAGCAACAAGATGGAATGGCTTCTGCATTTTCCAACGGTCACAGCAGGTCTCGAAGCTGAGCTTCTATTGTTTATACCGAAACCTCTCACGGCAACGACCACTCCGCACCTCTGCGGGCTGGATATTTGAAGGGTATGCACATGATTGGTTCCGCCATGGAGGTAACTTCGTGGCTACGGAAATGGGCCCTGGAGAGGATCCTGAGACTGTGACAGACTTGAGATTCACGATTAACAAGTCAAAATCCATGTTAACTAACTATTTCAAGGATTCCACCGACTTAGACAACCAGGTTCGAGCGTCTAGTGGCAGAGGTATTGAGCCCTCCGTGATTGGAAAATACTTTCTACCATGTGGCCGAAACTTCGAGTCTGTGGATGGACTAATGTTTTCTGGATCCGACACATTAATCGTTTTCCAAATCACGATTGCTGCAACTCACGACATCAAAAAGCATGGCATCCGAACCCTCCTACAGATGCTGCCAGCTGCGATCAAAAATCTCCACATAGTCTTTGTGATTCCAAGAGAACGTATAAGGAACTATGCTAAGGCACAGAAGGTCCCTAAGGCTGCGGAATTGCGGGAATTGCGGGAAAGTGGAGCCGGACGTCTGATAATCAGGCAGTTCCGACTTGTGTTTTGCGAGGCTGCAATGCGTGCCCTAGTTCTAGGCGACTGCGATACTGGAGAATCCGAGATGGATCTAGAGAGTGGCTGGGATATCCCGGACTCCGGGATGAGTGTTCAGGGTGGCCAGGATATGGGTGGCTTAGGGACTGGTGTTGAGGGTGGACGGGATATTGGAGGACCAGTAATGGGTGCAGAGGGTCAGTGTGTGGATGCTGATCTTGATATGAGAATGATGGAGATAGCATGAGGGACACCAACATGAAGTTTAAAAGAGGTGAGCTGGAATTCAACATCACTAGCTCCTATTATCCTGACTGTGTTGGGGAAATTAAGCTGACTGGAGCAACATTAAGGAAGTTTGCTGGAAAGGACAAACAGATGCAACAGCAGAAGTGTACGAGTGCGGCCAATAT